AAGAGATGGCAATGCACAAATACAATTTTCCTAGAGCGAAATTGAAAGGAAATATCGCAATATCTGGCAATTAAAGATAATAATCACCCTGTAAGTTTGTTTTAGTAGAGGTTTAAAAACTTGTTTCATGTGTAATGCCTTCCCACTGTTGTGTTCCAAGTTGTCGGACTAAAATTACCCAAATGGCCCCAAAGTTGCGGTCTTTTCATTTCCACAAGATGAAGGCATGAAAACGAAATGGTTAAAGGCCATACCGCGACAAGATTTTGTAGCAGCAGAAGCTTCCAAGGTGGATAGTGCACCTATAATTAGATTTTTGTTAATGTAGTTTATGTGAGCTGCACTTTAAATCTGATGATGTGTTAAGGAAAGGACAACCATTTTAAAAGAACACTGTGCATGTATTGAAGAAGACTTAGATGATATAGAGAACTATTTTTGGTCTATACTGACCTACATTGCTGGCTATGCTGCCTATGCTACCAACAAACGTATAAAATGCAATTACTGTCGTGTTTTTTTTTGGCTGAAGAAGATTTCCAAACTGTTTCCAACTTAACAACTGCAAACGACAGGGAAGGTGTATGTTCTCTAAGTCAAGACATTGTCCAAATCAGTGCTTGTGTTTACACAATAGTGACTAAGTGTTTGGAAAACGAACAAACATTTCTTTCCCAACCAAATCAGAAGCACGCTGTGATGAAGCTAAGTGCTTCATCTCTACAACACTTCAGTGTGTCTTCTGGATTTTCGTGTGAAATGCATGGTAAGGATTTGTTAGTGAAAAGTGTTGTTTCATGCATTACAAACGTATTGTTAAAAAACTAGGCAAAGCGTCAAATCGACAACACATCAAATAACAGGCTGTAAGAGGCAGAAGTTTTAGGTTAAATTCGGTTAGTTTAATAATATCCATACTTACTTGTTATAATTTATATTGGAAACTCAGTAACCAATTTTAGTTAGTCTAAATATGATTGAAAATTTCAATTTCAACGATACATTGTATTTCAATTTAGAAAATTTGGGCTATTGCAGCATCCAAACCACTGTAATGTCATTCATATCATCGGTCCACTATCGATGAAGTCACAAATGTAGTTGATTGGCTTTCTGTTTAGAAGGTGTTGATACAACTGTCTAACATTGTTTGACATTTAGGTTGCGTAGACATCCGGCAGACGGCGTTGCGTTTCGATTTCTAGTTAATACATTCTATTCCACGTTATGTTTATGTTCACGACATAACCGTACTATTTTAATTTTTCGTGAATGATTTGTGCAGTAAGTATATCGTTTGGACATTATTATCATTTATAACAGGAAAAGAATAATAACAAAAAAATCATAGATAATTTTATTTGTGTATTAATCTTCATACCACCTCAAAAACGTGTAAGTATTTCTTACTTGCTTTTTATATAATATTTTTTGTATTTTATTTTGAATGTTGAATCTGTTAATTGTTAATTAATTCAATTGTTAGCAATCAGTTCAAGAATTTGAATTTGGCGCCTTGGTGGAAGTGGTGATACTGCGAGCCGTTGCCTGTCCACGTCGCTAGAGTGTGAGGCACTCGAGAATGCGCGCTGGCCTGGGATTCACCTGCTGCTCGACTATTGCGCTTGTGTTTAGCTGTTTCGCTAATGTTTTGTTTTTTTATTATTTTTTTGAAAATTAATCGCTTAAATCAGAAGTGGGATTGTGCCCCGTTTCCCAGTGCTTCTTTTTGACTTTTTGTGACAATTTTGGATTGCGTAATTATTGTGCAACAAGAGACAATTTATTGGGAAAAAAGACTCGATAACCGATTATAAGTTAGTGCTTAGTGATAGTTTGTGGTTGTTCTGAACACGAAAGTACGACCATGCCGAAAGAACAAGGACGAACACCTGAGGTTGATGACGAGGAACCTCGGCGTGCTAAGGCGAAAAGTCATCGACGAAGTCGTCGTCGTAGTCGCACTCGAAGTCGAAGTGGCGACCAGGGAACCGGGCCTGGAGAACACGGCATCATCGTGCTGCCGAAGGAAAAGGTCGATCCAAGTCAGCGACGGAGCAACGCAGTCGGCGCCGGGAATGCAGGAGCCGCTCCGGAATTAGCGAAACTGTGTCCCGTTTGGGTAAAGCAATTGTTGAGGGTATGAGCAAACTTGGTGAGAATCTGGGGGTAAGACAAGGTACTCATACGGTAAGTGTTACTCCTGGAGTGAATGCTCTCATAGGAGAATTTAACCCCCTTTGTCATAATATCGAAGAGTGGCTAGCTAGACTCTGTCGATGAATTTGCTTACATTTATCGGTGGGATGTCAAAACGACCCGTCATTTGACCCTCAATAAATTGGCAGGACCTGCTACCTACACGATTTTTTCCATGGAATGAGTGGAAAGTTCCATTGCGACAAAATTTTCGCCCTAAGCGCAATTTGTATAAATTATTATAAGAAATGATGACGTGTGTTCCACAGTCGGGTTAAACTCTGTACGAGTACGCATTTCAAAAACTGGCCTTAATTAACAAACTTAAAATACCTCTCCAAGACGAAGATAAAGTTAGTTAAATAGTAGGCGCCATTAATAACGAACAAATTAAATTTTCTATCGAAACTGCGGATGTACGAGATCCCCATGTTTTGGCTAGCCACCTGAAAACTGTTGACTTGCATAATGTACCGATACAGAGTGTAAAACGAGAAGCACCAATGTCGCGAGCGTTATCGCACAAGTGGTTAGTCCCAGTGGCGTGCAAAAGTTTTCATCCACCAAACGGTCCAACTCAAATAAAAAAAACAAAAATGTTCAAAAACATAATTTTCGCGAGTCGTAATGTAAAATGTTTTGTCGATTTCGGCAGTGAATGTTCACTGGTACATAAAAACGTTGTTGAGCAATTTGGGTTAAAACAAATGGCTTTGGATGGAGTTGTTTTTCTGACAACATTGTCAGATGGGCCTCCGATTGCTCCCCTTGGATTTGTGTGTGAATTTATAAATATTGATGGCGTGCAAAGAATTATTGCCGCGTATGTAGTCGACCGCTGTGTCATGGGTGTCGAATTACAAATTGGTCAAAACTTCACGGAAAATTACGTCTGTTATACTAAAGTCGGAAATAGGTTAAAATGTTACGACTCTCCACTTCAAGATTGTGACTCAAGCGGATTAAAAATAAATACTATCAAAAAGAACCTCATTAATGTTGTAGTTCAAGATCAACAAACAATCGATGCCCTTTTAATGCTTTTAAATAAATACCTACGCGAGACGTATCGCCAAAAATTTGTCTGAAATAGGGCACGTTAACACTCAGGGCATGAAAATTACGTTAACAACTGAGAAGTCTGTTGGCAGACGGCATCGTGTATTTTCTGACCATGAACGGGAACAAATTCGAACAATGGTTGACGAATTACTGGAAAATGGGATCATTCGGGAGTCTGATTCTCCATATGCTAGTTCGGTGCTTTTAGTGGATAAAAAGGGTGGTGACAAGCGATTATGTGTGGACTACCGTCTACTTAATAAAATAACAGTACCTGATAAATACCCTTTGCCTTTAATCGAAGAACAATGAAAACGCTTATCGGATGCAAAATTCTTCCCCACAAACCGCGACTTATTTTCCGGTTATTACCAAATTCCAGTGTCCCCGGAGTCAATTCCGTTGACTGCATTTGTCATCCAAGACGGGCACTACGAATTTGTGCGCGTTCCTTTCGGGCTTATCAATGCGCCAGCTGTTTTTTAGCGCACTTTAAATTTAGTGTTAGGACAGTTACGATTTACCAAAATTTTACTCTATTTGGACGACATCTTGATTCCGGCTGCAACCATTCACGAATCTTTAGCCATTTTAGAAGAAGTTTTAGAAATAATTCAGACAAATAGAATAACATTAAACAAAAAAAAATGTACATTTTTAGCAACAAAAATTCAGTATTTAGGGTACGAAATTAGCAATTCTAGTATCCAACCGTCCCAATCAAAAATTGCGGCTGTACCACAGTTTCCACGTCGTCGTCGTACAGAACTATGTAAAGCATTGTCTTGTGTGTGCAGTCAAAAGACACGAACTGGTCCTTTACAAGGTTTCGTCCGGATGCTTGAAAAGCCCTCTACACCCTTTCACGTTGTGCATGTCGACTGCTTGGGGTCCCTGCCTGTCTCGTCCCAAAAATTCAAATACGTCCTCGTAATGATCGACGCGTTTACTAAGTATTGCCACCTTACTCCGTTAAAATCTGTTACTGCCGCGGAAACGCAGCAAGCTTTTCAAACCTTAATTGGTTCTTTCGGTACTCCGCGTGTTATCCTGTCCGACAGTGGCACAAATTTCCACAATCTGTCCCTGTGTCGATTTCTAGACGAATTATGTATTGAATACCATTTTATAACTCCGGATGTGCACCGTGCTAATGGCCAAGTAGAACGTTATATGCGTACCCTTATGAATCTCATTCGTATCGAAACCCGTGTCAGATCAGAATGGCCGAACGTGCTGTGGAAGATTCAACTTGTTCTCAACACCACTGTTCAAAAGTCTACCAACACCACTCCCATGCGAGCCTTAATGGGCCTTGAGACAAAGGCACCTTTAATTCAGGCTGTTGTGAACAATCTTGGTCAAGATGTGACACCTGTTCGAAATTTGTAAGTAGATCGCGAACGAGTGCGAGAACGTCTTCAGACCCAGAGTCACGGGGAGATCGCCGCACTGAACACCAAGCGTTGTGACCAAGTCAGGTATTCGGTTGGTGACTTTGTTCTGGTTCACCGATCCAGTAAAATGCATGCCAGTAAAACTGATTTTGAGTATATGGGTCCTTACGAGATGCTGCACATCACAAACGAAGGAAGGTATGAGCTGAAACGCGTTGAGGCTCGTAAACATAAAATTGTAAAAGCTGCCAAAGAACAGCTGAGCGTGTGGCCGTCAGAATGGTCCATAGCTGTCAACATGGGCGAGATTTTGGACCTGATTGACACTAAATAAGTAAGTATTCATTGATCTTTATTACCTGAATCGAAACTGTTTTGAGCTGTGACACTTCAGTAGGTGTGTTCTGACCCCCTGAGTTGTTGACGAGGAGATTGAAATACATCTCGGTGTCAAAATGTGAATTGTTGTTGACGAGGAGGTTAAAATACATCTCGGTGTCAAAATGTGAATTGTTGTTGACGAGGAGGTTGAAATACATCTCGATGTCAAAATGTGAATTGTTGTTGACGAGGAGGTTGAAATACATCTCGGTGTCAAAATGTGAATTGTTGTTGACGAGGAGGTTGAAATACATCTCGGTGTCAAAATGTGAGTTGTTGTTGACGAGGAGGTTGAAATACATCTCGGTGTCAAAATGTGAATTGTTGACGAGGAGGTTGAAATACATCTCGGTGTCAAAATGTGAATTGTTGTTGACGAGGAGGTTGAAATACATCTCGGTGTCAAAATGTGAATTGTTGTTGACGAGGAGGTTGAAATACATCTCGGTGTCAAAATGTAATTTGTTGTTGACGAGGAGGTTGAAATACATCTCGGTGTCAAAATGTAATTTGTTGTTGACGAGGAGGTTGAAATACATCTCGGTGTCAAAATGTAAATTGTTGTTGACGAGGAGGTTGAAATACATCTCGGTGTCAAAAGATAGATAAATTTTTGTGAAAAAAAAGGGATTGAAATCTATACCGTTGTCTTGAATGAGTCAATTTGAAGTTGAGCTTTTTGGTATGAGAGCCCGAGTGTGCTCCCTACCATTTTTGGAGTATTAATTGTTGTGTGATACTTGTTGTATCTCTAGGTATAATGAAGCCGTCACCCCTTCCAGTCCAAGAGCATCGTGGCCCTTTATTTTGGAAGCTTCGAGAGCGAAGCTTACGTCAGAATGGCCGTGTTAGCAATCAGTTCAAGAATTTGAATTTGGCGCCTTGGTGGAAGTGGTGATACTGCGAGCCGCTGCCTGTCCACGTCGCTAGAGTGTGAGGCACTCGAGAATGCGCGCTGGCCTGGGATTCACCTGCTGCTCGACTATTGCGCTTGTGTTTAGTTGTTTCGCTAATGTTTTGTTTTTTTATTATTTTTTTGAAAATTAATCGCTTAAACAATCATTCATTTTAATCTAATTTTTTATTTAAATAATAAATATTTTCTTTTTTTGCCAATTTAGATCTCATGAATCGGAAGAAACTGTAGGCAAGCGAAGAAAAATGTTGCTGCCTCGGTGGGAATCGAACCACACGCCCCCCGCTTGCCAGACAGGTATATTGAGCACTAGGCCACGAGGTGGCTTATCTTTCTTCGCTTACTATTACTTAATATTGCGTCGCCACAGTACTCCCCCACCAGCCACACAGTGCGCGCGGTCGTGCTGGGGTGCGAAGGAGTGGTGTGTGTTGCCTGTCGGGGTCACCAATGTAGGTAAGCCAAGAAAAATGTTGCTACCTCGGTGGAAATCGAACCACACGCCCCCCGCTTGCCGGGCAGGTGTCCTGACCACTAGACCACGAGGCCGCTTATCTTTTTTCGCTTACTACTGCTTATTATTGTGTCGCCATAGAACAAATTGCAGCAAGAAACGCAGCTCAACGGATCAGCACAGCAGAAATTCGTAGACAAAAATCTCGAGAACAGCGTGATGAACGTCTGCGACAAAATATATCGAGAACAAGAGCGGCACGAGTACGGCACAGCCATATTAAGATAGGATTGCCAGATGTCCGGTTTGCACCGGTTGCACAGTTGCTTCGACCATGTTCGGCGTACTGGTAATGTTCGAGTCCCTACCTGGACCTGTCGACAGTCGACGCAAACACAATTCAGTGGTCTGTGGTGGCCTGGCGGCAGACATCACAGCTGGTAGTTAGAGCAAAATTAGTTAGGTTAGATTACCAAGATAAATAATGACAGTGCTAGTAGTGATAGCGGTAAAAATTTATCAAAAAAACACCTAGGGGTGAGAGTCGCTTCAACAGTAATTGGCTGACCGAATATGAATGGTTGATAAAAGTTCATCACAGTACACAAATGTAGATGTCATTTTCATCAAATGGGTATAATTTCTCACTACAGTCTCACCTGTACTGGTAGTGAATCCACCGACAAGATCTAAAAGAAAGCGCTCAACTCCTTGTACAGAACATAATGAATATCTTAAGAAAAAACTCTTTAGTAAGGAACAATGTTATGAAGAAAAGTTGGAAATTTTAAAATCCATCGCTTTAAGTTCGGTGAAAATTGCAATTAATTAAAAAAATTTTTGAAACTTCTTGAAAGTTGATAGAACTTCGCACTTTGTTTTGTTTATTTGTTGATATGTATATATAATTTTTCTGAATTACAAAATGTAATTGTAATTGTATTGTAATAATTGTAATGTTCAAAACTGTATTTAATTACTTATAAACCTAACGCGAATTACACGTGCCCGGTTACCGCGTCCACAACTTACTCTGGGTTAACGCGTGCTTCAGCTTGTTCTTATTCTTGAGGACTATGTACCTCGTCATCAAGTAATCCTAGAAATAAGTATTAACATTTTCTGAGTTATTATCTACAGAATTCTAGACGATTTCTTCTTAACACTCGATCTTTAAACAACATCTGAATGTTCCTTTCAATAAACCATTGCATCGTTTTATCAAACTTCTTACTCTTTTATGTTGCACGTTAAAACGATAGTCAGGTGTGTTTTCTTGTGGTTCTGGTTGTACAGGCGTTAGTATTCATGACCTAAGGGGATAGCCGGAATATCCTGATAAACATGTAGACAATTAAGTATACATAACTATGTACATATCTATGTGTGACGAAAACAAAAAAAATTCAAATTTCTTTCTGTTTGCTGAATGCGACGTAATGTATCCTGAACAGGGGCTCTACTCCTGACAAAACTCACCAATGAATTTTGTCACATTTTCCTGTTTGTCATAATCATAAAATTTTAGTGAAATCGTAGAAGAGTACGAGTACTGTCAAGAGACAGTAGTGACAAGAACTCGTGTGTGACTTTTTGCACTGCAATACTGTGTAGGATGTTACAAAAGAAAGCAAGAGGGTGAAATACCTCCTCAGGTTTAGTTCCTGGATTACCCAAAGGTGTGTGAATATACCGCTTACAAGCATATCCACTGTCACCTAATAAATAGTTGCCTGGAAACTCATTATTTTCGAATTTGGAGCGCATATGTGTTATAATTTCAGGTTGTTTTGACAGTAAGGAGTTTTTGGTGCGACGCGAGGTGATCACAAATTTGACGACACGAGACTTTAGAGACGAAGCAGAATTTATCAAGATCATTTTACCGAATTCAAAAACTAATATTATGCGGGAATTTGCTATAACGAGAGGAAATATTCAGGGAATAAGTTGCTTAGATTTATTACGAAAACATAAAGATTTGCGTCCCAGACAGACCAAGCATGATAGAATCTTTCTTAACTATAGGGGAGGTAAATGTACCCAGCAACTGTTAGGAATAAATACAATTGGATGAATTCCAACGAAGATCGCTACTGCATTAGAATTATCTGAACCAACAAATTATCCTGGCTATTGTTTTCGTAGATTCCCGGTATCATTATTAGCAGATGCGGGGGTAGATATGCATATTTTCAAGCGTTATGGAGAGTGGAAGTCGGATAGCATGGCACAAGGACATGCTAAACATCTGTCGAAAATAAGAAAATAATGGGTTCTTCAGTTACTGTGGGTTCAACAAATAATGTTACGGTGGAAAAGCCCAGCCCCAACCTGGGGACAGCGTCTGAGATGTTTCATGCTGTGTAATTTATGTTAATAAATAGTTTTTCAACATCGGTCTAGTGCGGTAACAGATTTTTTACCGCACTAACGCGGTAAAAACTAATATTACAATACCAAAGAAAAACTTATGATCTGACACATTACAGAACGAAAGTGGATAAAATCCATTTTTGTCACTTTACGCCCGTAGTCGATAAAACAGAACTCTACTTTACCATATTCACAATTTACAGACATGATTCACATCAACTGCACAACTTTACATCATCGTATCTGCTTCCGTGGTCCGTCACTGTTATTAGTTGTGCTTGTCAATTTAAGAATATATTCGAATATGTGAAGAAAAGTGGCCAACCCCATCCCTGGCCCTGGCCCCAGGTCCGGCCCTAGCCTTGGCCCCAGCGAATTGTGAGATCCCGACAAAACAAAAAAGAGTGAAAGCTCAATGTAAAAGCTGTTTTTACAAAGTTAGACGGAATTAAAAGGAGGAAGAAGGTAGAACTACCAAAACGTGAAGACATTAAACCTTAAATAAATAACTTGAGGAGGAGCGTCGTAATAGTTATTTATACAGGGTTAGTATATCAAACGCCGAAAATGAGACTTTGCATCCGAGTGTATTTGTAGCGCGAGGATTGCAAAGCCGTTTCGGCGTGAGATACATGCATTTTTTGTGCTGCTTTTTACTAAAAAAATATTAAATAACAGTTTTTAATTACTATTTTCATAAAAAAAAAACTAGTGAAATTGTCTTGTAACAGAAATATGTTGCCACTACCTTCTCCGTTACCATAGCAATCAGCAACAATTCCGAAAACATTTGATGAAAACTTTCAAACTGGTGCCGATAAAGTGAATTCGCGGTAAAATGAGTGATTTTGTACAAAAATACTGAAGAGGTATTGTCGGGGTTGCTTCCTGCGAAATCTCTCATTCGGTACGAAGAGGAGCTTAAGAAATCCACAAAATGGTGCGACGAAAATAAAATTAAAAACAGACACACTGAGACGACGTTTCTGGCTTATTTTAAAATCAAGTCCGAAACTTTTAAACCTTCTTCAATGCTAAAAACGACATTGTCTGTAAAACATGACGTACATTTGGACAAATGTCGCAAACTCATAGCATTTCTCAAGAGGCAGAGCGATGGCTACAAGCCGAAAAAATCTGAAATATTGAGGCCCATGTAGAAACTTTTTTAAAAACAGCCTCTGATGACAAATTTTTATTTATGAAGGTAAGTATAATATAAATCAAAATAATCGGAATTTAGCTACTTTTTTTCAGGCTGGTTTAGTTATTGCGGGTTCTGGAGCATGCAGAAGGATAGAACTGACAAGTCTTTCCACAGAAAATGTACAGTTTGTATTCGTGACAGTGAAGCATGCTCATCAAATTGTGTTCCTGAAAATATTCAAATAGCAAATGTGGCTCTGGAGAATTCAAAGACTGGTCTTACCATTTCAAACTGTCAGAATGTCAAAATAAATTTTCATGTTAATAAATAGCTGGTTAATTTTCACAAATGTAAACACCTTATTAGTTTTGTAATAAATGTTTTCTTGATATTTGATAAACCAAGTCATTATTGTCACTGAAAGAACAATATTTGTCTGGAAGGCAGTTTAGTTTGTCCGGTAGGTTAGTTTCTCCTTCTTTCAGAACTTTTATCCACCTTATTAATAATTAATTAGGCAATATTGGATTATTTTTTATTGACATTTTTTACTTTCGGCTCTACATAGATCCTCAAAAAGTCATTTTCGGTTAAAGGACGCAATGTCAATAGACGTCGTTTTCGATTGAGGCAGCACAAAATAGTACTGTCTTTGCCATTTCTATTGAAACACCAGCTGTTGATTTTGCTTAAA